ATGTTGCTGGAGGACAATGAAAAAACGCACGCATATGCATCAGCATGCACAAACACACACACACACACACACACACACACACACACACATAATCTACATAATCTATCTCATTTCTTTAACAACTTTTTATTTTAAAGGTTTTTAAAACATGAGTGAGCACAAAAGCACTGTCTGTGTATCAAAAATCAGTGCACTCTGTGGTAGTGATATTTATAGTTTGTGATCACTCTCACATGTAAAAAAAAAAAGACACTATAAAGACTTCTAGATTATCTGTTTGGGTGTTAAATATTCTTTACTGGTTGTAAAGCTTTGCAAAATGTCCATCGTTAGTGTTGTGTGTTTGTTACAGTGGCAGTGCCATTTTTATGTTTTGTTTTTTAAGGGCTGCTGAATTCTACATTAAATGGCTCTCGAGCTTTGATCCAAAGTCAAATGCACATATTTCACTATATGTTCTGACCTACAAGTAAGTGTCCTGAATGCTCCTTTTTTCATAAATCAGTGTGCAGCTAGTAATTATAAATGATTTCATGAAATTTTGATTATAATTTACTATGCAGTGCTCTTACGATTCAAACCGCCGTTCTCACACAGTGTCAAACGGGCTTGTATGTATTTATTCTTTGACAGGAAGGCAAATCGTGCACAAACGGTCAGTAACTTTGTGAAGGTGTTGCAGCATGTGCCCAGTGATCTTCTGAAGTAAGTACTCAATCTGTTTAACAAAACCACTCATGAAAGTTAACACTTGCAGTGAAACATTTTTCTCTTTTTCAATTTGTAGGAGAGCTTTTCTGAAGATGTGCAATAGTCCTGAGGCCTTTCTTTCCTTGCGGTCTCACTTTAGCAGCTCTCATGCTTTGCTGTGTGTGAGCCACTGGGTTCTAGGTATTGGAGACCGCCATCTCTCCAACTTTATGATCAACATGGAAACAGGAGGCATGATCGGCATCGACTTTGGTCACGCATTCGGTTCAGCTTTTTTTAAGTGAAAACAGTGGATTTCAGTTAAATGTTATAGATGTGTTCTAGACATGGATACAGATAGATATTTCAGTGTGGATTAAAGTGTTGGGCCAACTGAATGACATAATTATGTTGCCATCACGCTGCTAAACATGGCTAAAAACGTAGCAGATAGTGTGTAACTGGTCTGACTGTATGATTCTTAGGTGTGATTGTGTCCTGTGTATAAATGTGAAGTGAGGCCTCATTGGAAGACACACAACAATTCATTCTATAAATACCATTGTTTCTGTGCAATCTGTGAAATATTCCCTCAGTTTCTCCCTGTGCCGGAGCTCATGCCTTTCCGGCTGACCAGACAGTTTGTGAATCTAATGGAACCCTTGAAGGAAGGCTTGATCAAGAGCATCATGGTTAATTCCCTGCGAGCCTACAGGGCTGAGCCAGATCTCTTGCTTACCACCATGGATGTGTTTGTCAAGGAGCCCTCGTTGGACTGGAAGGTGACCACTCCCGCTACAAAAATCTTATTAAACAGAAATTTTGATTCAGGTTTTTAGGTGAGATTCTTGAGAAGTCGTGAGAGAAATGGTAAATGTCCTGAAAAACATTGTCATCCTGGAGAATTATGACTCTGTGCTCTTGGTGAAAATAAAAAGGTTAGATAAAATTACTTTTGAAATGTAGCCTGACAACCAAGACGTACAATTTAAACACACTTGTGCTCTGTTATTTGTCTAAACAACAGCATATTGATGATGACAAGTTGGCTATTTAGGTAACATTACATGTTTGTTAGGATGATATGGTTACTAGCTTGTTTTGCCTGCAAATGTGTCAGGTGTGTGGTGTGAACAGTTTGTGGTTGGGGTTGCCATTTAAGTTGCCCTGAACAGCAGTGTTAGGTTTTCTTGACCTTCTCCTTAACTGCTGAGGTGGAAACATCACATTTCTGCTATTTGTATTTTCAGAGATCAGGTTGCTGTAGTTGTTGCAGTAACAGAGGGTCAATGTGATTTTAAAAGAAATATGGATTTACGTTGGCAATATATAGTTATCCTTTTAAATGGTTGTTTCCGTCTGACTTCAAAGGAAGATACAATTGGATGTCATCAGCAGTACAAGGAATGAATAAAACATAATAGATGAATATGCAACAAAAATAGGATCAGGCCTAGAGTGGGAACCTTGTGGGACCCCATAAGACAGGGGGACAGTAGAGGAAACAATCACTAATACTAACGGAAAACCTATCTGTTAAATAAGACCTAAGCTATTGCAAAGCAGTGCCAGAAATACCAATCAAATCCTCAAGGCAGGAGAATCTTATGATCTACCTTATCAAAAGTCACAGAGAGATCCAAATGCAGGTTGGCTGTGGCTCACGAGGTAGGGCCGTCTCCTGACCAGCAAGTTGTTGGTTCAACTCCCGGTCTCCCGGCATGCCTAAGTGTGTCCCTGAGCAAGACACCGAATTGCTCCCGGTGGTTTGACTAGTGCCGTTGTGTGGCAGCCTGTCGTCATCGGTGTGTGAATGGGTGAATGGTGTATCATCTCCTGTAAAGCACTTTGGCCAGTGCAACACACTGTGGAACAATGTGCTATGTACAGTGCCTTGCGAAAGTATTCGGCCCCCTTGAACTTTGCGACCTTTTGCCACATTTCAGGCTTCAAACATAAAGATATAAAACTGTAATTTTTTGCGAAGAATCAACAACAAGTGGGACACAATCATGAAGTGGAACGAAATTTATTGGATATGTCAAACTTTTTTAACAAATAAAAAACTGAAAAATTGGGCATGCAAAATTATTCAGCCCCCTTAAGTTAATACTTTGTAGCGCCACCTTTTGCTGCGATTACAGCTGTAAGTCACTTGGGGTATGTCTCTATCAGTTTTGCACATCGAGAGACGGAAATTTTTGCCCATTCCTCCTTGCAAAACAGCTCGAGCTCAGTGAGGTTGGATAGAGAGCGTTTGTGAACAGCAGTTTTCAGTTCTTTCCACAGATTCTCGATTGGATTCAGGTCTGGACTTTGACTTGGCCATTCTAACACCTGGATATGTTTATTTGTGAACCATTCCATTGTAGATTTTGCTTTATGTTTTGGATCATTGTCTTGTTGGAAGACAAATCTCCGTCCCAGTCTCAGGTCTTTTGCAGACTCCATCAGGTTTCCTTCCAGAATGGTCCTGTATTTGGCTCCATCCATCTTCCCATCAATTTGAACCATCTTCCCTGTCCCTGCTGAAGAAAAGCAGGCCCAAACCATGATGCTGCCACCACCATGTTTGACAGTGGGGATGGTGTGTTCAGGGTGATGAGCTGTGTTGCTTTTACGCCAAACATAACGTTTTGCATTGTTGCCAAAAAGTTCGATTTTGGTTTCATCTGACCAGAGCACCTTCTTCCACATGTTTGGTGTGTCTCCCAGGTGGCTTGTGGCAAACTTTAAACGACACTTTTTATGGATATCTTTAAGAAATGGCTTTCTTCTTGCCACTCTTCCATAAAGGCCAGATTTGTGCAGTATACGACTGATTGTTGTTTTATGGACAGAGTCTCCCACCTCAGCTGTAGATCTCTGCAGTTCATCCAGAGTGATCATGGGCCTCTTGGCTGCATCTCTGATCAGTCTTCTCCTTGTGTGAGCTGAAAGTTTAGAGGGACGGCCAGGTCTTGGTGGATTTGCAGTGGTCTGATACTCCTTCCATTTCAATATTATCGCTTGCACAGTGCTCCTTGGGGTGTTTAAAGCTTGGGAAATCTTTTTGTATCCAAATCCGGCGTTAAACTTCTCCACAACAGTATCTCGGACCTGCCTGGTGTGTTCCTGGTGTGTTCCTTGTTCTTCATGATGCTCTTTGCGCTTTAAACGGACCTCTGAGACTATCACAGTGCAGGTGCATTTATACGGAGACTTGATTACACACAGGTGGATTCTATTTATCATCATTAGTCATTTAGGTCAACATTGGATCATTCAGAGATCCTCACTGAACTTCTGGAGAGAGTTTGCTGCACTGAAAGTAAAGGGGATGAATAAGTTTGACATATCCAATAAATTTCGTTCCACTTCATGATTGTGTCCCACTTTGTTGATTCTTCACAAAAAAATTACAGTTTTATATCTTTATGTTTGAAGCCTGAAATGTGGCAAAAGGTCGCAAAGTTCAAGGGGGCCGAATACTTTCGCAAGGCACTGTAAATATAGTCCATTTACCATTTACCAAATGCAGAACTTCCCTGAGTCCATAGTACACAGTGCCAAAGCAGAGAGTTCAACTGCCTCTTTGAGAAGGTGAGGAGGGACAGTATCAATAGGACAGTTAGAAGGTTTAAGTTGGATAATAGTCTCCTTCAAAAAGAAGAGAGACACTGGCTTGAACCAGGAAAATAAGAAAGACTGGCAACAGGAGAAGCTAAATCAGCAGAAAAAGGACTCTGTGATCTGGTATTAAGGACCCTTTCAACAACAAATTTGAGAGATTTCTCACAGGCATCTGGTGTGGTGTCCAGAGGAGCTTGTCTGAAAGGTCCTTAAAAAAAAACCTTATTATATTTGGGAGGCTAACTCACAGCACACAAAACTGTATCAGAGGAAACTAGCTCAAAGACACTTAGTTCAGAGCTGGATATAGAGCCTGAAGTCAGCTGTTTGCAACTAAGAGTTTTTGAAGACGTTTGCAGTTCCACCATTGCGGCTAATAAGGCTCAGTGAATTAAGGAATGTGCAGTCTTGAGTGATAATATACTGTAGATGACTCACCAGAATTGAACAAGGTTTCGGTAAGACAGATAAAGTTAAGTTAATAAAGTTACAGATAAAGCAAGAATTTACTGTAAGTTATTTAATGTTTGCCAAAGATCCGGCATTTACCAGGGCACATCTAACTGCAGAATCACATCCAAAATCCGGGCATGGTGTACGGTCCAGTGGCTGAAGATGGTTGGAGTTTATTCCCGCTCCATAGAAAGGAGGCTGACACCACCTGAAAGCCGACTAACCACAGGGGCTAGACAAGGGGAGATGTGACAATAGAAGGCCAGGCCAAAATCTGACAGAACATGGTAGAGATTAATTGCAGAGGACAGTGCCAGGGCAAGGTAGAGCTTTAGCTTAACCAGTCTACCAGCATGCCTTCCATGACGTGCATTTCTTCTGCGGTTGCGGTGCGACGAACATAAGCAGGCACAATTGCCAGCAAAGGAGGAAAAGGGATTTCCCCCTCTAGCTGCTCGATAATTCACCACATTTTGAGACAAAATCTTGACATGAGTAAAATTGAGTGCTCATAGGTCAATAGAGATGTTGTGTTTTGTGTAGAAAGCAGAGATAAGCCAAGGAGAGCAAACAACAAAAGACTGGCGCCATTGTAAGTCCAGCTTTTGATGCGACCACCTCAACAAAAGACTGGCGCCATTGTGAGTCCAGCTTTTGATGCGACCACCTCTATTCATGACTCCATGAAGTCCAGATCAGGACTCTGGGCTGCCTTGACCATCTGTTGCAGGACTTCTTATTCTTTATCAAGTCAGGTCAAGATTTTTATTTGCCACTTATGCATAAACAAGCAGTCTAAGCATATAGGAATTCTTGTGCAGCTCTCCTATGGAGTCAGGTAAGGAGTCAAAACCCAGAAAGAACACTTAGTCTTAAAATTTTTTTAATGTCTTCTTAGGGCCTCATGGGACAGCCAGGAAAACCAGGGATTGAGGTCTGTGGAACATTTTCTGAATCCACATCACACAAGCAATGATCAAATTTATTGTCACTGATTTTCACTCATTTATGCTGTGGCCAGCAATCTTGCAATTATTTTACAATACATTTAAGACATTGCAGAGTTTTGTAAAGTTTTATAAACCAAAATTGTTTAGATTATCAGTGTGTTTGGGTATTTTTCAGGGCCCACGTGGATCCCCAGGTGTATCCGGCCCTCCCGGAGTTCCAGGAAGAGAGGTGAGAAATCAGCCTGTCCTTCCACTCTTATTCGCTCCCTCACACATCCACAGATAAAATATGGCTGGAAGCATAAGAGAATGTCAGTTGCCCCCTGCGGATGAAAAAGTACGATATATCACAGCTCCGGGACACAAATCTCCACCATCTGAGATGGGTGTGAAAACAAAGTTAAAGCCCTTTATGCCTGCCTCATATCATAGCCAGGAGGGTTGTTAACTCCTTTCTTTGTCTCAATTAAAGGGCTCCCCTGGTAGACCAGGACCTCCAGGCCCTGCCGGACCTCCAGGTGAACCAGTAAGTAAGACAATTTAATCTTTGCTGTCTGCAGTTCAGCACCAGTGATCTGTAATGAGAACTACTGGGCTCACCTTAAAATCAAAGTCACTGTTCACTGCAGCTCCGTTCCGGGACAATTAGCAACAAGTCCTACTGTTTTCTAACCTGCATCACTTTCAGGAAAATGTTGCCGTTTATCACAAATTAGCAGCGCCCTGTTGTCAGCACATGTTTTCATGTTTCTAGTCTTTTCATTTGTTTCTGGTAAGCAGCATTTGCTATAATTCTGACAGATGTAGTGTGAATAGCACACAACCGCTGCTGTTGCAGCTTCTGCATCAAAGCCTTGTAAATTCTAACCTGTTTATATTCATGTGTTGTAAGAACCCATGAAATCCATTTATAGCCCACTTTATGTTTTAAAAATACATGGACTGCAAGCCAAAAATTTTCTCAGCTCCAGAGAACAACAATATTTTGAAGATGTGAGTTTTCTGTCCTCTGGTAACAAAGTTATTAAACTGTTTCCTCAAGCGTTGCAGATAAGAAATGAAACACTGAAAGTGAAATTTTTTAAAAGATGTTTGGGGTAAAATCAAATTCCTTAAAGGCATATAAGATGGTCTTTTACACTAATGAGCAGTTTACTAGATGCAGTCACACCAAACAAACAGCAGAATATTTCCAAGACTTGTAACTGGTGGAATATTGTGTGAACAAGACCCTGAGATACTTAAATTCGTCCACTTGAGGCAGGAGCTCTCCACCAACCTGAAGGGAACAAGCCACCCTTTTCCAACTGAAAACCATGGCCTCGGACTTCGAGGTGCTGATTCTCATCCCAGCCGCTTCACACTCGGCTGCAAACCGCCCCCGTGCATGCTGGAGGTCCTGGTTTGATGGGGCCAACAGGACAACGGCATCTGCAAAAAGCGGAGACGAGATCCTGTGGTCCCCAAACCGGACTCCCTCCGGCCCCTGGCTGCTCCTAGAAATTCTGTCCATAAAAATAATGAACAGAACCGGTGCCAAAGGGCAGCCCTGCCGGAGTCCAACAAGCACTGGAAACAAGTCTGACTTACTGCCGGCAATGCTAACCAAGCTCCTGCTCCGGTCGTACAGGGGTCGGTGAGCCAC